AACCGGTTCTCCTGCTCCACTCTTCTTTCTGTCTTAAACAATAGCGACCAGGAATAAAAACCCGAGACATCTCTCCTTCATCCTCCTCGGTCAACCAGTCGGAAAGAGCTACCTCCTGGAAATGCTACTCAGGTTCCGCCTTAATCTCCACAAGGTCAAGATGGGAACCTGCAGGTCTCTCGTTCTCCAGATGAGTTCTAATCTGGAAAATGAGATGCAGAAGAAGGAGAAGCTGAAGAGGAGAACCGGAAGAAGAAGAGGTGGAAGAAGATGTTTCTGCAACAGCATGATTAGAACAGCTGGCAGTGGCTGCGTCGATGGTGTGGAGGGGCTAATTTGTGACAATTTGATTTCATGGCGTGGAAGCAGAAGAAAGCTGTTTTAAAATATATATATATATATATATATATATATATACACATCTATATATAATAATAAAAAAAAATTGATTTTCTAGGGTAGAAACAGTAGAAAACTGCTTCAGAAAAAAAAAAAAAAAAGATGTATACATATATAATAATTAACACATATATATATATAACTGCTTTAAAATACATATAAAAAAAGAAGAAAACCTGCTTTAAAAAAATATATATAATAATAATAATAAAATATGCTATATTTTAATTTTGGGGACAAGGTTGATGCTGAAAAAGAGGGTTAGTCAGGACATTAAGGGTATAAAAAAAAAGAGAAATAATAAAAGGGGTAAATTAGTCTGTGCATGTATCAAATTAGGGTTAGAATTACAGTTAATGTTTCCGCTGCATTGATTCCGGCACGATAGTGGCTGCTTCAATTGCTTATAGCTATAAAAGATTCAATCTTTATGTTATAATCAATAAAGAAAAAAATAAAAATAACTCTGCAAATTTCCCTCTCTATTTCTCTTCTATTTTTCTCTTCTTCTCTCTTTATTTTTTTTTTCAAGATCAGACAGTCATATCAAAGGCTTCTGATAGAATTATAGAAGGAAGACTTGAATGAGATAGTAGATAAACTACCAACATGATGGATGCATGTAGGCTATTACCAAATAAACTACATAGCTATCAAAATGCATGATAAATAACAACAGTTAGTTATCCTCTATTAGGACATTTAATTTTCTTCTCATGGTGCACTCACACATATGCATTTTACCTTCAATGAAATTCTTATACTTTTTGAAGAACAACGAAAATTTTCGTACTTATCAAGTGATACATGGAACTGAGCATATAATGATGGAGAGAAAACTCACCCATATGCATCAACAATTTCCTGAAAAGCAGAAGTAAATTTGTTTGTACGGAAATAGGTAGGTGGCAACTCTTTTGTTCTCAAAACCTGGAAAATGGATCCAACTTGTGAGTTGGAGTCAATTGCTGCTCGCTCCAAAGCCTCCTGAATCTGCATAGATCAACTCAAACTTACTTCGCAGCAACCTAACTAAGACTTAGTAGATTAAAGATGAACCAGTACTTCAGCTAAACCAAAATGATTTCCTCGGGAAATTTGAAGCGGAAAAGAGGAGAAAATAATTACCTGTTTTGATGCAAAAACCGGGCTCCACCCCTCAGCCACAAGACATTTTTTTGTCACATCAAAACTAAGCATGTTCAGAGTATGATAGACAGATATTTCCTTCCTCACCTTCAAGGATTCAAGTAAAGCATTATTTGATGAATACAGAATATGGAGATAAAAACACATCAATTTCTAAAAAGAAGGAGAAGAATAAGCTGTGTGCATCATCTGCAGAGAAACTAGAAATGAAACTACAAAAAAGTAACTTTTAACGGACCAGAAGACTCCACTGCTCATAATGATCTGCAATGTTCTTCAACAATTTGTTCCAGTGAAGCAGTCCAGCATCTATAGTCGTCTTAAGCTCTGTGAGTCTTCCAGACACCTAAAAATTTGAAAAGAAAAAAGATGTTATGCTAGATATAGTTTTCAATAAGCTGTCTCTGCTAACCACTATAAAATAAAAGACATTAAATGCATAACTGCAAACAAAGAAAGGGATACAGAAACAAGTTATAAAAGAAAGATGGTACAACTTTGGGAAAAATGGGGGCAACCACACTTGCTGTTGTTTCCACAGATTAAAAAGTTGGACTTCTTGACCAACTGTGATGTGAGACCAGCTCATCTCCATATTACGAGAATGTAAATGAAACTCCATTCCCCTCAATCCTCCTTGGTTTCACAGACTATCATCAATCTCTTCCTTAAACATTTTGCTCATTGCATCAGTTTTTTCTTTTCCTATTCAATCGCCACATCATCTATTTTTCCTCGAATGATCTTAAAGTAACTAAAAAGCATGATCATATCCATCACGGAAGTTATTGGTAATGGAGAAATAAATATTGAACTTACTTCTGGCCTTGAGGAAAATATGAAAATAAGTATTATATTAGTAATAGAAAATTAAGTCATCAATATTTTGAGTCCTTACACGGTAACTAAGTCAACCACCAATATGATTATGGTTGGAAGTCCTGAAATAATGCCTAGGCTTTACGAGTTTTAAGGAAAAACAATAATATGGCAGTCTAGTTAAGTCTCAACACTCAGCAGCAGTTGAATGGAAAGGAAGAACTCCATCCTTGTCGTTGAAGTTTTGGGAATGCATACCTCTGTGATCATTTGAGCTTGCCTGACAAAGTCCTCACTGAAAGGATATTTATTTGCACCAAAAGCTTCACATATTTTCAGGATTTTGTTCTTCGCTTTTTCTCCAGAGTAGAAAACCACAAACACATTTTTCTCAATCTGCAAATTGACATTTGAAACTCAGAAACTAATGGAGATAGTACATTACAGGTTAAGGGAGAGGTCACAGAACATGAAACAATAAATTACGTCATCTATCAAATTAATTCAGCTGCCGCAGAGATAGAGACATGTAAAAAAATGCACGCATGCACATGTTATACAAAAATCTCTCTTACATATATTTCACTGTACCATCACTGTTACACTATTTCGTAACCTAAGAATGAGATGACTGCAACCATTGGTGAATTCAATAATTTTTTTGAGAAGCAAAAGGTAAATAGTGTTACCAGAGGGTGCAAATCTATATACAAATTATTTACAAGTCTCTCAAAATATTAATAACTCCTATAAAGATGATGACCTTAATAAAAGGCCTACTGTCAGGAAACATAAATCTTTAGGTCTGGAACTCAGTAATAACAACTTCCACCCTGCCTTTTGAAACAATCCAAAACTAGAACAAAGGACTTTCTAGTTCACCTTTTCTCCAGAGAGGGGGTCGACGACAGGTTCATCAACAACGGCCTGCTTCAGATACACATTACCCCTAGTAGCACGAAATACAATCCTCTCAAATGCCATTGATTTCTCTCTAGGAACAAGGCCAGAGATGAATCCCAGCTTCACTTGTTTTGATGGATCGGCTGACTTATCCTATGAAATAATAAGATAACCATTATAAGTGCAGGAGAAAGATAAAATTATGGTACAATAAAAGCTGTTCAAAGTCGTACTTCCTGCAACAAAGGAGTTTCTATGGATGCTTCAACCCCGTGATTTTGTTCCATTTCTTTCTGCTGAGCCGTCGCACTCCTTTGGGCAGAAGCAAAAAATTCACCAGCCTGAAGAGAAGAATGTTTAGCCCCACTAGATTGATGATTTGATACAACATGTACAATATTTTCTTTTGAAATAAAAACATGTACAATATGTTTTTTTTATACAACATAATCAGGTTGTTTTCTTCCCTCTTTACCCTAACAATATGATGCAATGGGCATTATGATTAAAATTACATCAATATGTCATCTATCAATTATTAGCAGTTTAGACGTCAGAAAAACTCATTAACAACTATGTTCTACTTCTGTGACACATAAACATGTTAACACTTTGAAATTATTAAATTGAATTTATGGCACAAGAAACCAATACCTTCCGCAGAACAAGCATATATTCTACAAGCTCATTATGAGAACGTTGCAGCTTGTCATTATTTGCATTCATTTCAATCAGCTCTGCCTCCAGTTCTCCGAGTTTCACCTAGAAACCAAAATATAAAAGGGAGCTTAAGCATAAAAGAATGCTAAAAGCATTTTTATCCAAGCATATAGCATCTTTGTTTACCTCTAGTTCATCCACATCAATGTCAGGTTTAGTCACAAGCTTTGCTGGGGAGGATAAACCTGCCTTTGACATTTGGTCTTTGAAATATCGTAACTTCCGAGCCATCTCTCCGCATTTTTTTATCTTCATAAAAACATTTAAATCAAGATGGTATTTTCTCACAAAATGTACTAATTATGACAGCAAATGCTTCAGCATATCATATCAATTCCTTTGCCTAACTAAGATGCAAGATGCCTTTTCTTTTCCTTCTAGTGGATTGGATGCAAGATGCTTGAGCATGTCCTACAAACATTTCTTTTTTTTTTCCCCTTTATCAGGTACAAGGGTATGAAAACTAGCAAAAGAAAAAAAAAATTCCAAATGCTCCAATTATCACGTTTCCCCAATCCTCTTGATGGTTTATTATGACGTTACCATACTGTTTTTCCTCTCCGCTAAAAAACATCAGAATTTCGTAAAGAAGCAAACTGTAAATTCACCTGAGCAGCATAAGTCCGCTGGAACGGGCTTTTCTCCACATTCAGCTGAAACAAATAACAATCAGAAGTATCACTAACAACATTCCTCGGATGAACATAAAAGTTCGTCAGTCAATGAACAACCTAATCAACAATAACCAGAAACCAAATCCAAGATTCAATCCTTGCCGATTAAGAGCAAAACCTAGCGTTCAACTGTGCTTTGAGTATCCAAAGACGAAGAGGAATAAGTTTGAATTTGCTAGCCAAACAGTACATTAGCAACCACTCTATAATAGCCAGACATAAGAATTACCGGCTGTAGCGACCAACAGTACCATCTAGGGTTTACAATAAACTTCAACTATCACAAATCACGCCGATATACACAAAATGATAACGAAAATAAAACAGGAATCAGCTTCACGAACAAACAATTGAGAAACGAGGAGTGCTAAAATCAACATGCACATACAGATACACCTCCACACGCACACACAAACACAATAGATACACTACAAAGGCCAGTAATGTACACACGTCTTTGAATTGGAGGAGACCGACTTCACCAAGGTAGGAGACGGTGAGGTGAGCGGACTCGACGGGGATGATGAGTTGAACCAACTGCATAGGCTCTGACCTAAACAGATCCATCGGCGGGCAACATCCCCCTCCCCTCTCTCCCATTTCGTCCTCAAAGTTGGGTTCGCTAACTCTCCGATTCCAATTTCTCTCTCTCTCTCTCTCTTCGTCAATTTCAATCTCTGCGCATACCGGGAGCCACCCGCGCAGAAATCGATCTCAGATTTTCAGTCTATCAATCTGATAAACTAATTTTAAAGAAAAGAAAGAAAAATAAAAAGAATCCAGAGACGGGAGGAAGCAGAAGGCGCAAGAGAGAGAGTCTGTCGTATGTCGTCTTGTCTCGTTAGCGCCACGAAAGTACACGTAGTGTTTGTTTAATATTTGGGCGATTTCACCAGATAAACCTGTTACAGCTGTTGTCGTTTTAAGTTCAATGGAGATACCGTTTTAACTCCGGTTCAGGATTTATTACCTTTGACGGTTGGAGCCTGGAGGAATATATGGTTTTTAATAATAATATAACATAAATTTTTTATAATATAATTTTAAATAATTATTTTAATTAAATAAATTTAATTATCATAAAATATTTATTTCGTTGAAAAATATAATATTTTTATTAAATTTAATTATTATAATTTTATTCACATACTAAATTAATTTATAAATTTTATTAAATTAATATATAATATAATTTATCTTAAATATAAACCTACCTGATATGCTTTTGATCAACACTATCCTTTATATAATATATTATCACGGGGAATTATTTTTAGGAGTTGTTTAGTTTATCATAAAGTCTGTGTGTAAATATTAAGCATGAATTTAGAAAACCGAATGAAAATTTAAATAATATTGGATTGGATGGGAAAAAAATGCATTCTATCTGATTTAATAATAGTTTAATTAAATAAATGAATTAAATTTTAAAATTCTAAATTATTTAAAATATAATTATATATATATATTTTCAACACGTAGCTTACAATCATTTTCTTCATAAAACAAGAATATACTGTTAATTTTTTTAAAATGTTTTATAATTAAGTATTTTAGGTATGTTTAGAATAAATTTATAAATACTGTATAATTAATATATAAATTTACATTAAACTTAATTATATATATATATATATAGAGAGAGAGAGAGAGAGAGCAAAATCTGAAACGTGGGCAATCACACTGATGCTCACTAATTTTTTAATTCGAAGGACAAATTTTTAAATCAAAACACCCTTCATCGCATGAAAATATCACGTGAACTTACAACTCAAGATTTACAAAGAAATGTATGAATAAATTATATGGGTTGGGATTTAAAAAATTCCATTTAAAAATATAAAAACAAAATTAAAATTTTAATTACGACAAAAAAAAAAATCGCGAATAATGTAAAGACATTAATTTATAATACTTTTTTAACAAAATTCGGGTAAGAATAAGATGATATGTAGTTTTTATTGGACATTATTTGTCACAAAAATTTAAAAACCAAAATTAAATTTAATCACTGATATTTTATTAATTCATAAATTTAAATTTAAATTCATTTAATTACTTTATAAATTAATTATTATATTTTATAATATAATTATTAAATAATAAATTATGTGTTTTTAATAAAATTTTAATTTTTAATTTTTAAATATAACGTTACAATCTTACCTAATAAATTATTATATCAATAATATCAATTGTCAAAAAATCATTTCAATATCAAAGCCGCAGAATAACAAAATATCATATAAAAAATGTTACGAAATGATAAAGTAATATATAAATTAAAGATTAAGTACTCTCCAACGTTCGGATTCAAAGCTTACAAGGAATAATTAGTCAAAATGAAGAAAAAAGAAGCTAGTGAAAAACATTTACAACAAACAAGTATGAGATTCAAGCATGTACATAATGTTAACCTGCATTCCCTACACAACCTTCTTGAACTACAAGACAACTCTGCAGAGCTGCAACAGAACTCTCTATGCAGCCATCTCATCCCTCAGGAAAGCATGTTAGCTAACGAGTTAGCAAACAGTTTATGTCAACTGAAGTCCTCTGGATCGGCTATCATACTCTCTTTACACTGTCTCCGTGAACAACAACAAATCCCTCGGTTGCGAGGGAAGCAACTGCATTTCTTAGCTGAATTCAACAAAAAGACTATTCAGTTTCACAATCCTAAACTTGAGACAGAAAAATGCGCAGCATCAAAGAGGGCTACATAAACTTACATCATGAAGGTGGACTTCGGGTTGTGCTGCTTTGCTTCTTAGTTCATCCAGTATCTAGAAGATAATTAACCATATCTAGCTGTTA